TGGGGGCATTATGTCTTGCAGGGCTTTGCTGCACATGACCCTCATGACCACAGGGTGAATGCAGAGACTCCTTGGGGAGATAGATGCAACACCCATCCAGTGAATTAGCTGTCATCCATCAACCTAAGGGACCTAACTAAACATTTGGAGACCTAGTGGGTTCTTCCCAGGGGGTAGGGATCCTTGGTGCCCTGGGACTTTGATGCAGTCGCTGGGGGAGATGGGCAGATGGATACCCAGGACACGGTCAAATGCCATCATCTGCTGAGGCTACCTGCACCCGAAACCCTCACCTAGGCAGCCAGGCGCTGGGGTCCCACAGAGGAGGAAGCCATGGGGTGCCAGTGGAAGCAAGGGGCTCTGGAGGTGGCAGGCTGTCCAGATGGCAAGGCTCAGTGAGGAGAAGGGGGTTCAAGAGGGTTGGGTTCAATGAGGGGTGGGGTTATAGGAGGGAGAGTAGCAGTTTCCAAGAATAAAACTTTGAAGGCTGGCCCGAGTCTGTCCCTGTCATCCTTCTTGTTCCCAACCACACCCACCTACCCACACTCCCTCACTCCTTGAGTCTCCTAGCTCAGCAGGTTTAATGAAGGTCCCAACCTCCCAGGTTTAATGAAGGTCCTGTGGTTCTTTCTGTGGGTGGACACGCCCTGCCCCATCCCTGCCCAGCCCCGCCCTTTGGGAATCTCATTTCCTTTTCCCACATCCACTGCTCATCAAACCTGATTTCATCAACAGCTGGAGGTCTCCTTGCTTTCTCTCTCCAACATCCTTCCATCCTTTTCTGAAGGGTCTTACCACCAACCACCGAGTCCCCAGATGGAGTGGAGCACCAAGTCCCTGTCCCCTCCTCTTTCTTCTCCCCTCAAATGATCCTGCTGGGCAGCATCCTGGTGCCTGGTCCCAGGCTTAGCTTTGCTCCTGCCTTAAGCAAGTGGTTGGCTCTGTTTGGTCCACAGGAGGATGGCCCAGGTCTTGGCTGCTTCTTGGGGACCAGCCTGGTCAGTGTCTGGCCCAGCCGTGGCTCTAGGAACAATCTCATGGAAAGGGACTATCTGGTTTCTTAGTTAGCTGACAGTGCAGGTTTGTGGGCAGGCCCGGGTCCTCACTTGTCCCTCAGTAGTTAGCCTACTTGTTTCAAAGTATTTGAGGCAGATGCAAAAGGGCTCTACTGAGACTACCAGCTCTCCTTAGAGCGGCACAGTGGGGCTGTAGTTCTCTGTTTCTCTGCCTTTTGCTCCATTTGAGTTGGATGAGAGGGCTCCCTAACTCTTACTGACTGAGGGTGGGATGAGAGATTGGGGATCTCCAACATGTCCTTCTTCTCATTCTGATAAACTCCTATTTATCCTTTAAGGCCCATTCAAATGTCTTCTCTTCTCAGCTATGGAAGCACTTGGCCCTGTGAGTTTTAGAACCCTGATTTCAATCTACAGGTAGTTAAAATTGGTCCTCACCATACTTACTTCTGTTCTTAGGTAGGTGTGGGTGTGGGAGGTGTCTGAGGACAGGAAGTGACTTTGGTCTGGCCCTATGTCCCAGCATTACTAGCACACTGTGTGCTCCTGAAACTGGTTAAGGACTTGTTGTTGTTTGTTGTCATTGCCATCAAGTTGATCCCAACTCATAGTGACCCTTGGGACACAGTAGAACTGCTCCATCGACTGCCACAGATTTCTCCTGAGGAGCAGTTGACAGCTTCCAACCACCAACCTTTCGATGAGCAGCTGAGCACTTAACCACTATATCACCAGGCCTCCTATAAGTTGCTGTTCAGTTTGTTTCAACTCATGGTGACCTTGAACTAGGTAAAGTGAACCCTGAGCTAGGTTCTGGGTACGATGTCCCAGAATCTTTGGCTGAGCAAGCAGAGGCTTCCATACTAGAGGCTCATTGCACTTGCCGGCACTGAGTCCTTCAGAATCTGGACAGCTCCATTCCCCCATTCTATAGCTGTCATTAGGTGCTGTGCAGTCAGTTCTGACTCCTAGCAACCTGATGCATAACAGAATGAAACACTGCTCAGTCCTGGGCCATCCTCACAATTGTTCCTATGCTTGAACCCATTTTTGCAGCCAGTCTATCTTATTGGGGTGTCTTCCCTTTTTTGATGACCCTCTTCTTTACCAAACATAATTTCCTTTTCCAGGGACTGGTCCTTCCTGATAATATGTCCAAAGTACATGAGATAAAGTCTTGCCAATCTCACTTCTAAGGAGCATTCTGGCTGCACTTCTTCCAAAACAGATGTGTTTGCTCTTTTGGCAGTCCATGGTAATTTCAATATTCTTTACCAAGTTCACAATTCAAAAATTGACATTTTTGTTCTTGAACACTTTAAAGGGGTCTTTTGCAGCAAATTTGCCCAATGCAATGCCTCATTTCATTTCTTGACTGCTGCTTCCATGAGCACTGATTGTGGATATAAATAAAATGAAATCCCTTTGCTTTATTGACTATGCAAAGGCTTTCGACTGAATTGATGCTGACAAGCTATGGACAACATTGCAGAGAATGGGTATTCCAGAACACTTAATTGTGCTCATGAGGAACCTGTATACAGACCAAGAGGTAGTTGTTTGCACAGAACAAGGCTTAAAATCAGGGAAGGTGTGTGCCACGGTTTTGTTATTTAGCACCTTACTTATTCAATCTGCCTGCTGAGCAAATAATCTGAGAAGCTGGATTATTGACGAAGAATGCGGCATCAGAATTGGAGGAAGACTCATTAACAACCTGTGATATGCAGATGATACAACCTTGCTTGCTGATGAAGATCAAAGACCACAGCCTTCAGTCTGGGTTACACCTCAATGTGAAGAAAACCAAAAATCTTACCACTGGGCCAATAAATAACATCATGATAAATGGAGAAAAGATTGAAGTTGTCAATGACTTCATTTTTCTTGGATCCACAATCAACACTCATGGAAGCAGCAGTCAAGAAGTGAAACACCATCTTGCATTAGGCAAATCTCCTGCACAGGACTTCTTTATAGTGTTCAAGAGCAAAGATGTCAGTTTGTGGACTAAGGTGCCCCTGACCCAAGCCATGGTATTTTCAATAACCTCATATGCATGTGAAAGCTGGACAATGAATAAGGAAAACCATAGAAGAATTGATGCATTTGAGTTATGGTGTTATATTAAAAGTACTATGGACTGCCAGAACAGCAAACAAATCTGTGTTGTAAGAATACAGCCAGAGTGCTCCTTAGAAGCCAGAGATGAGACTTTGTCTCTCATACTTTGGACATGTTATCAGGAGGGACCAGTCCCTGGAGGACATCATGTTTGGTAAAGTGGCAGCAGCAATGGGCTCAAGGGTGGCAACGATTGTGAGGATGGTGCAGAACTGGGCAGTGTTTCATTCTGTTGTGCACAAAGTTGCTATGAGTCAGAACCAACTCGATAACACCTAACAACAATGAACCGTAACCCAATCCTGATGTTTCTTTCTTCTTCATGTAGTCCAGCCTCTTGGATTATTTGCTCAGCATACAGATTGAACTATGGTGAAAGAATACAACTCTAGGGCACACTTTTCTTGATTTTAAACCAAGTAGTAAGTAAACTTGTTCTGCTAGAAGGACTATATGCTACAGGTTCTGCATGAGCACAATGCAATGATCTGGAACTCTTATCCTTGTCAATGTTATCCATAGTTTGTTATTATCCACACAGTCTAATGCCTTTGTGTAGACAATAAATAAACGTCTTTCTGGTATTCTCTGCTTTCAGCCATGATCCATTCGGCATCAGCAATGATGTATTTAGCTCCACATCTTCTTCTAAATCCAGATTGAATTTTTGGCCTCTCCCTATCAACATACTACCGCAACAATTTTGAATTATTTTCAGTAAAATTTTACTTGCTGCACAAGACCTCTTTAAAGTGTTGAAGAGCGAAGATGTCAGTTTGAGGACTAAGGTGCACCTGACCCAAGCCATGGTACTTTCAGCAACCTCATATGCATGTGAAAGTTGGACAGTGAATACGGACGACCATAGAAGAATTGATGCCTTTGAGTTATGGTGTTGGAGGAGAATATTGAAAGTACCATGAGCTGCCAAAAGAACCAACAGATCTGTGTTGGAAGAAGTACAGCCAGAGTGCTCCTTGGAAGCTAGGATGGCCAAACTTCATCTCTAAATCTTCGGACATACTGTCAGGAGGGACCAGTCACTGGAGAGGGATATCATGTTTGGTAAGGTGGAGGGTCAGAGAAAAAGAGGAAGACCCTCCAGTGAGGTGGATTGGCAAAGTGCTAGCATCAGTGGGCTCAAGCGTGGCAACAGTAGTGAGGTTGTCCCATGATCGGGCAGTGTTTCCTTCTGTTGTGCTGTGAGTCGGTACCGACTGGATGACCTAACAACGACAACATCATGATACTAATGACGTTGTTCTATAATTTTCGCATTCTGTGGGGTCCCTTTTTTTTTTTCAGGATGGACACAAATATTCCATAGAAGGGGAAATTAAGGCCTCTTTCCTCATCTAGACGGCATGATTCCAGTCCAGTTCCAAGCTTAACAAAGAACAGGCATTCAAAGACAGCTTATTGATTGAATGAACTAGTAAATGAATGAAAGGTGCACTTAGTTTGCACGGCTTTACCCCAACTGGTTATCCATGGTGGTGCCGTGGGTTAAGCATTGAATTGTCAAGCAAAAAGCGGGAGGTTTGAACTCACCAGCATTTCCTCGGGAGAAAGATGAGGCAGTATGTGATTTACAGCCTCGAAAACGCTATGGGGACAGTTCTACTCTGTGGAACACTGTAAGTCAGAACCGACTCAACAGAACCTAACAACATGAGTCAGAATCCACTCCTCATAAGAGGATGGGTTTAGACTTTGGTCCCTTGCCCAGACTCTGCAACTGAGCTCCAACCCGGGTCCCAGCCCCGCCCTCGGGCCCCGCCCCCGCCCTCGGGCTCCGCCCCCAGCCTTTGGCCTGGGTTCCGTGGTCGCGGTGCCTTGGGCTTTTCCGGCCGCGCTCACCCCTGCTCCTCCATCAGCTCCTGCAGCTCCATGCACTTGAGCTCCACGCGCCGCTTGCGCTCGTGGTCCAGGATCTCGCGGTGGGCGCGCTTCACCAGGCCCGGCTCGGCGGCGCGCAGCTCCTCCTCCGCCCGCGGCCAGGCCCCGGAGGAAGCGCCCGGCTGCGGGAAGCCATTCGAGGCGTCGGGCGCGGACGGCAGGCTGGCTGCCCCGTTATTCACAGCCGAAGACATGACGTTGGCCTCGGTCGCCGGCCCTGCGGGACAGACACAGACCCGGGGCGGGATGGTCACTTCTCCATCACCCACTGAACTCGCTGTTCGGGGTTAATCCTGGAGATTTAAGGGTCCACCCAAGGCGCTAATCCGCTTCCCCTCCGGCTGGAAAGGGGTGGGCTGACGACGGCTTTGCACCTTTGGGTCACACCTGAGGACACCAGGAGGGATGGGATACTGGGCTCTCCCATCTGTAAAATGGGTGGATGCAGCCTGGACTCCGGGATTCTAGGTCCCTTGTCTCCAGATCCTGGCATCTCAAGGGACTGTAGCAACCTAGGGCGGCTTTCGAACACTCCTCACTAACTCCTAGCCAATCGTGGTCTGAAGACCACTGAGTGCTAGTTATATTCTTGTTTTTCCTTCAATTTCAGCTTAATCTGTCTCCTCTCCAATTGCCCTAACTCTGGCCTGTGACTCACAGACCACGTGGATCAGCCCTCCTCACATCTCTTACTCCATTATCCTGGTTTTGGCTGTGGGGGTCACAGAGCAGTGTGCCCCACCTCCCAGCCTACTCCCAGGGCTGCCCTGCAGCAATAGGAAAACTGGGCAGTTCCATTTCCGCCCCAGGTACAGTTTCCAATTTGATCTGGTCAACATTCTAGTGGGGATCTAATCCAGACTGAAGCCCACAATCTGGAAATACTGACAATGTCGGCGATCGTGATGTTGATGTTAGCTTTCTAGGTAACCACTCTTCCTGCAGGTTTGGAGTCGGGTGGCGGGCCAGCATGGTTTGTGAGTTAAGAAGGCCACGCTAGGCTCCAAGTAGAGGTCCAGAACACATGGATACTACAGACCTTCCCTGGGCGGAGGCACCTCCTGAGCTATTTCCATTTCCTTTCTCCAAGGCTCTGCTAGTTGCTAAGCAACAGGGAGGCCTTCTTCCCAGAGAGTGGGATGGGAAGGGGTGGATGGAGGGGAAGAGAAGAGGGATTGGCTATGTCTGGGCACCCTGGATGGGTCCTTCCCTACAACCAGTCCCCAAACACACACATCCAGACTGGCCTCAGAGTGATGGGGGTGGGGCTGTTCAAAGCCATGGCAACGAAAAGGCAAAGAGCATCTTTGAAACGGACAGAGTGATGAGGTGACAAATGATCATCCCAAGAGCCTCAAGTGTCTGGGATTCAGGCAGTTTCCTCCACTACTTGCTGTGTGACCCAGAGAAAGCCACTATCCTTCGCTGATTCCTACCTGTACCTGGAGGCTTATAGACAAAAGCTGCTCTGCTAACCCCTCTCTCAGGACCCTGTCCACTCCCAATCCCTGCTGACTTCCCCTCTGTTCCTAGTCAGCCCTGAACTCTCAGCTCTAGTAGGACTTTCCCTGGAAGCATCACCCACTCACTATGCCCTCAAACACCCACCTTGGTCATTTTGCCTGATTCTTGGAACCTTTCTATCGATTGGACACAGAACTAGGATATTGGCCTTTATCCTGACCTACCACCAGTCACTTCTCATGAAGTTTGGTCTTTATCCCCAGTTCTCCACATTACTTACATATGTGCACATTCTCTTTGCATCTGTCATCACCCTAACCCAAGACCTGTCCTGTCACTTTGATTGACTCTCCGCCCTTCAGGCCTCTTTCTGTTCATCCTCTATTAGCAAGCTGGGACATTGGTCCAGGTGCAAATCAGACTGTGTTGTGTCCTAATTAACAGTCTCCAGTGGCTTTCTGTCACCTAGCCTTGCAGCCTTGAAGTAGTGACACAACCCTGCCTCCCTGTCTAGCCACCTCACACACATTCTTCATCTCTCTTGCCTCCGGGCCTTTCTGCTTGCTGATCCGTCTCCCTGAAACACTTTGTCTGGCTCCTATTTGTCTCCAAACTCACTATTTGTCAACATCATCACCTTCCAGAAGCCTTCCCTTACTCGTCTGGCCGATGCTACCCTCCCAGAGCTCTTGCTATTTGCTATTGGTCATTGGTCATTGTGGGTTTTGCAATCTGGTTCCTTCTAGTGCCAGCAAGGTGCCTAACACCTGTGGAGTTCAATGCACTGGTTGAAAGACAGCTAACAAGGAGGCTGGATGAAGGAATCCATGACCCAATTTTACATACAGCCTGCAAGACACCTCACATGCTGTCTTATGCTCTCTTGGACCTTCATCCCTTGTCACAGTATATCCTACAGTAATCATCCAGTCCCTTAGCTTTGGTCATTGTTCTGGGTTGAACTGTGTCCTCCCCAAGGACACAGTTGAAGTCCTAACCCCTTCCCACTCCTCTACCCCATTGGTGAATATGACCTTATTTTGAAACAGGTCATTGCAGATGTGATTGGTTAAATAAGGTCATTAGGGTGAGTCCTAATCTCTCTGTGACTGGTGTCCTTATAACACAAGGATGAAGGTCATATGAAAATGAAGGCAGAGACTGGATGCTGCCACAAGCCAAGGACACCTGGGACTATGAGCAGCTAGAAAGGACAAGAAGCTATCTTCTCTTAGAGTCTTCAGAGAGTACACGGTCTTGCTGATACTCTACATTTCTGCTTCAAACCACCTACTTTGAGTAATTTTTTTCTAGAAACCCAAGGAAATGTCAGTCATTGCTCTCCAAACATTCCCTGTCATTCCTCTGTACCCTCACACATGCTAGTCTCCTTTGCTGGAATTCTGTTTCCTTTTCTCCACCAAGTGCATTCAGAAGTTCTTCCTAAGACTTTTGACTCATCCTTCAGGGCCTAGTCCAAATGTCGCCTCCCCTGGAAAGCCTTCCCCCCTTCTGGGGACGGATGAGTCATCCTGGAATGCTTGTGCTGCCACCGCTTTTGCCTGTCTCTCCGTTGAGACTATAAGCCCTTTGAGGGGATAGGACCATCCCTTTCTCTCTGAATCCCCAGTGTCTGTCTACTCTAGCACCTGACACTGCTGGAGGCAGGGAAAGAGAAGGGGAGAAAACACTAAGGCCTCAGCCGGAGTCCTTGGAATCAGGGACTGAGCTAGGCTGTTCTTCCTGGTTTTTCATGGTTCCTTGAGGGCAGGGGAGGGGGAGCTGTTAGAAGCAGCTCTGAAAGCACTTATATCAGCAGATGCTGGAGAAATCCTACCTCCAGCACTGGGCGTGGAGTGGTGGAGCAGAGGGTCTGCTAGGCTGCTAAGAGCAATCTCTGCAGAAGTCACTGCTGAGAGAAGGGGAAGAGTGGAAGGACAGGAGGGTGAGACGCAGCATGGGGCAGGACTCTGAGGCAGGTTGTTAAAAAAATGCCTCTGAGGTGGGACATTCCCACTAGAAAGGACAAGCAGACCAGCCCGGAACAGCTAGAGTGGCAGAAGACACATCTTCAAAGAAAGATCATCAGGAAAAACCCAAAACAAAAACAGAAGTATGACTGACTACTATAAGAATAAGCAAGTTGGTGGGTCCCTCAGGGCAAAACCCCTTCCAAGACTGAGATTCAGTGGGAATACATGAGCAGACACATGCTCTGACTGGTGACCACGTTGGTCACCGATAAAGGGAAATGAGGGATAAACAACAATGAAGCTGCAAGCTAAGTCCAACCACATTCAATACACTCCTGTGAACCTGGATGGAGACCTGGTTGGTCAGCAGTTTGGCAAGACCTGGAGACTCCTGAGCCCAGAGTCAGTGACATAGCCACAGAGGACTAGAGTGGAGAATGAAGTGTCCAGCTGATAAGAAGAGAGGGCATATGCACAAGAACACCCACACTTACAGATAATACCCACTTGACCTGGCTTCCATGGCTGGATGATTAGAGCTCAACTAGACAAAGAAAGAAGAGGAAAAAAAGAGTAATCTGATACAATTTGATGCAGTAGCTCAAAAGAGGGAACAGATCTTTATAGTGAGGATCACTCCCACCTACACAGGGTAGACATGGATGGGCAACTTGGACATTGGCTACCCAAAATGGGGGTGGGGGGGCTACAAAGGTAAGAAGTGACTGGTTTACAAGCTTTCAAGAGGAAACCTAGATTCAGAGCATGCAGAGGAAGGTAGAATCTCCACTGAGTAGTATCCAGTCTGTCTGGGCGGGACTGATGAAAGGAGATGTGGATAGCACTCATGTGGTACAATAGTGAATAATTACTATGAGGACTGACTGTGAGGGTTGGAAATGTAAAGGCAGACTTTTGTAGCAAAAGGAGGGGAGTAGTTGACTTTGCAGGCTGGAAGCAGAGACCCCTGGAACCATAAAGAGAGAAGAGCAGTGTGCGGGACCGTACCCAGAGAAACAGTGATGCCCCAGAGGGAGGCAGAGATGATGATGTTGAGAGATGGAGCAGCTGGGAACTCTAGATCCAGAGAGGGAGAGGGGCTGTGTGCTGATGACCAGGGGGCAGGCTTGTGGGATGTACCATTTGGTTGGTTGATGATGCATGGAGGGGATTGTAACCATGGCAATGTAACGATACACGATAAGATGAATGTAAAGCCATGTAAACTATCACATAATTCACAATAAAACATTTAAAAAGAAAAAGAATAAGCAAGTTGTTTGTCAGGAAGCCAAGACAAGCAATCAAGTCCCTTCAGGACAAACCCTCTTCTAAGACTGAAACTCAAAGGAAGACATGAGCAGGCATGTAAGCTCACTGATGATCACATTGGTCTACTGGTGAGTGGAAGAGGGGGAAAGGCAGCAATGAAGAAATGAGCTGAGTTCAACCACGTTCCATAGACTCCTGTTGACCTGGAGATGAGAGAGAAGAGGAAGGGCTGGTTGGTCCAAAGTGTGGTGAGTCCTGGGGACACCTGAGCCCATGGACAAGGACATAGCCACAGAGGGCTCGAACTGAGAGTGAAGCATCCAGCTGATATGAAATGAGGGGAGAGGAACAAGAACATCCAAACTTGCAGATAGTACCCATTTGACCTAGCCTCGATGGCTTGATAATCAAAACTCGACTAGAGGAAAATTAAAAACAAAAACAATTTTTGATAAAGGAAACGAGGGTAAATTGCTATAATTCAA